CTACGTGTGCCAGTTCTGCGGAAAGAACGCCGTCAAGCGCACTGCTGTCGGTATCTGGAACTGCAAATCTTGCCGCAAGACCACTGCTGGAGGAGCCTACACGGTCTCGTAAGACTTCCCACATCGTCGCATCATCATCCATCGCTCGACGGAAAAAGATGCGACCAGATGCGATACTTGCAGTACTAACAGCACCCTCAGAACCCCCGCTGCCGCCGCCACAAGGTCAACGATCCGTCGTCTCCGCGAGATTGCTGAGGTTTAAGGGAACATTGGGCACTGGGAAGGAGGAGTTTTCGAGCGTATTTCTCTGCATCGGCAGCCATTATCCGATTGAAATGGCTCTCTAGCAGCATTCGGACGCCGGTCCTGTAACGATCATGGGTTTATCAGGATTTCTCACAAAACAATGGCACCTTCATGACCAATCAAAACACTATCCAGCAGCCCGTGTTATGTGATGTGAGGTGTTCGGGATTATGCACAGGCGGAATCAGATCGGACGTTGGCGCCATCTTCCCCAAACAATGCAGCCATGCTTCATACATCGCTCCAACGACCGCGAAGGGACTGGTGCAGCCGAATGAATTGGAGAGTGAATGAGCAGCTTGATCACCTTTTCGTCTTCTAATTTGCAAGCATTCGACTGCATGTAACGAATATGCTTGTATAGAAGATCACACTGCCTGCACGATGCAACACCATTTCCCACGTGCAGCTGATGACCTTGACACTTATACAACCCGCCCGACAGACTCTTTTTCAAGACGCACCGCTTGAGCCCCCGGTAGCAAACGCATAACACCACAATTTCTGAATACTGGCAATGCAATTAGTCCTGTGATTCTCGGGAAACGCCTGGTCCCGTAGCTCGCACCAGCCCTTCTTGTCTGCGCGGTACATCTGGGGCTTGCTATGTCTGCTGGAGTACCTCTCAACTCACTCATGGTATGTGATTTGTTGAAATGTTTTCGCTGTGGCTTGATAACAGTTAGCTGAATACATGACATACTTCAAACCACACTCTACCGCCCAAGGAACGCTCGCCACGAGAGACTATGACTGGACCCTGTGCGATCCTCCAGAAAAAAGCGAGGTTCCTCAGGACTGACGATACTAACAACCGTAGATACACCATATACACCTGGACGGTCGGTACATCCGCGCAACTTGCCTCAGTAGGAGCCAAATCCCGTTTGCAGTCATTGTATTCATTTCGAAGTAAAGGGCACGTTACCGCGTTTGATCCTGGTGCAACGGCGCATATTACTTCCACCTTTCACTACGTGTGCGCAGTGTAGTGTACATGATATGCACATTGTCGCCCACGTGCTCGCTCACAAAGCGCTTCCCCAGCACTACATCAACTCTTTTCACGCGCAGCCAACCTTTTCATCTCCGGTTCGTCCTACACCTAATCAGCTACTACTTCACTCGCTCGACTCACGATCGCAATCTCAACTGCGTAAGCAAACGCCACCACCGCCGTCATCTCCCACACAACCATCACCACCACTTCCACACAAGCCCCAACCATGGCCTACACAAACCCTACTACCACCTCAAATGGCCACATCCGCTTTCGCAGCCTCCCAACACGCCACTCAAACCCAGCGGTCTCCACACCAGCTCCCAAATCTGGAGTAGCGCACAAGCCCGCTCAAGACTTTGACGCCATCCTGCGCCCCAAGCAGATGAAGTCTATGGCTGGACTGGATAAAGAGGAAGAATTGCGTCTTGTAAAGTCACATCGGGAGAAGGTGAAAAAGGTTGGGGCTGGAGTTTTAGGGTGGGTTGTTGGGTTGAGGAAGAAGTAGGCGAGTGAGTCGTTAGGTATGTTCACTAGTTTGCGTATTTACAGCTACCATTTTCGCGTTTATCAATATGTTTCAATCTAGCGATAGGTCAAGTATACTAGTGTTTTGGGTGGCTTTTAGATCCGTGCATCTTGGAGCGGATTATACTGGGTCGTGTATGAGCAAGTCTGACTGATGTATGTCGGTCGCTTGCAGGCGTTCCTCATCTTGGGGGAATATATGAAAAGTAAGTTTTCATACATCTCGTGCGGAATATCTGGTTGATGATGTACTTCCATGAGATAAAGACTATCTGCTCATCCCGCCCTTGAGCATATTGTGACTAACCACGAACACGAACACATGGTACTTCCTGGTGCACTGTTACTGAGACCTGAGACGTGGTTCGCGGACCTTCAGATTTAGGTGTTGGGTGGGTGTCTTGCGCGATCCCAAATGTCTGACATTGTGCAAACATAATACAGAGCGCGTCGTGAAAATCCGTCGTCCATGCTTCACAGTGGAAAACTGTGTGAACACATGAATTGGAGTACTCTCGGATGATCTTCTATATAATAATTTCTATACCCTGACTATATATCCTTCGGATTAGTTCACACAAGCACAAACACAGCTTCCAGAACCAAAGTCACTTCCACTGTTGAATAATACCAAAGTTCGAAAGCCATAAACTATACCTAACATCTCAACCACATACAACACAATGACACTTTCCATAAACTTGGAAGCTTCATCTCGCAGTGGCTGGGTCACTGCTGAAGCACATCTGCGTACTCACGAACGCAACAGGTACGTAACTTTCTCCACAACCCCAATCACTCACATCATTGCCCAGGAGCAGCTCAGCTGGCAGCGGAATGAGCAGGCCGAATCAGTGTCTGACTGGCTCCTATACAACGGAGAGGCTTTGGCACTGCGGTCGCTGAAGGAGGCGGAGGTCTTGGAGCAGCGTGATGTAATTTCATCTGCACCTGCACCCGGTTCTACCCCCACTCTTACACCTGCGTCTGCTCCTACACCTGAGCCTGAACTTACACATGCACCAACAAAACCTGCACGACCAAGCCGTTTCAAAGAACTCTTCTCACCACCAGGTAGTCTGCGCGTACCTCAGACTCAGCCTCTAACTCGCGCTACCACAGACCTTGCAGTCAAGCGTAGACCAGGTCCCTCGTCCCATGCCGCACACAACATGGCGCATCGAGCTGGCGAAGCCATGCATCAGTTCAACGATGCTGCTTACCATGCTCTCGAACCAGTACCAGTGCAATCGCACCATGGGCATCCTCAGAATGTTCGCCGAGCCAACACAAATTTCGATGGTATCCTCAATCGAAGCCAGATGTCGACGTGGCAACACGAGGATAATACTCACTGGCAGCAGTCGGTGCGTGGCAAGGCTATCACTGGCCTGGGCAAAGCGAAGCAGCATCTGCGGCGGGTAAAGCAGGGCTTTGGTGGTTCATCCCCGGGTTACGCACATCTTCCGCCGTCGAGCGATTACCTAGTGTAGTTCGTTCGGGGCAGTCGTGTCAGCTCCTGTCTTTTCCCAACGTCTTATTTTCTTACAACATTATTGAAATTCACATCTTCAATCACTTCAACTCCCTATCTTTTTCTATTGAATTTTGCAAACAATCGTGATAATGAACTAACGTTCTGTACGAACATTCTTTGTACTGAAACATTCCGCTGACACTTTCCAGTGTCCATAAAGTCTGTCCTTGTACATACAAAAAGTACAATACCTTTGATGCCTACGCGCCTGACAAGGGGAAGCTATTTATCAAGTATGCAAGAATCTGAACCTACGCTAATGTAGCACTGCGCTTCCTCTTGGAGTAACATCGTAACTTGTATAGCCTTCAACATGTTAACACCGGAGTGGGGAATCGCTATTAGCCTTGTGCGATTGTGGCGTGGATGTACATGCTTCATCACCCTGGTCAATACATTGAATCCAAGCGGATACCTAATCGAACTGGTGTAGTTGTTTTCACTATAATAAATTTTGCGTTATCTATCTATCCACCTAACGCGGAGGCCATGGATAAAATGCTGGAGATGTGGGCGAAGCAGGTTAAGCGTGGGACACCAATGACGAAAGAGGAGAGTTTGAGGATCTTTGGTGGAAGGAATGGGGAGTTTAAGAATCTTAAAAGTGACTTTATTGACGTGTTCGAGAGGGGGGGATGGGTCAGGCTGAGGGTTCGGGTTTGTCGCTAACGGAGTTAGAGAAATGGGGAAGATTCAGGAGGCCGGCCTGGTCCTGCAACCCATGATATGACCATGAAATTAGCTAAACTGGAGAAGGGAGGAGGAGATGAACGCGCAAAAGAGGGAGAAGTGCAGGACGTGAGTAATAGGTACTCTTGTCGGTCATGTAAATCCCTTGTCGAGCTTTTTGTATCATTCGTTCGTAACCTGAATATTTCCATCTTGTGATTGTGAAGCTGAGGTGCTCTTACGTAATCTTTACGATGCTTTCAATGTCAATACTAATGGTAAGATGAGGCATTGGACACTTTTATGTAGGATCCAACCTCCTCGCATCATATCCTATGAAATGATTTCCTCAGCTTTGAACGAGAAACAACGCGCTTTTTCTGTACCATCTTCTCCTTCTTAACCTGCTACTTCTTCAAAGCTACCAATGTGACTATCAACGGCCTCCAAAACTGCAACAAGATCGTGGGTAAATTCTTCCGTTGCTAATGCTTGCGTGTGCGTTCATTCGTATTTCCACAAGCCTAATCCGTCACACTATAACCGCGCACGCCAGTGTGAACTTAAGAGACCCAATTCTAACAACTCCCTATCAAAGGACATGTTACTAATTAAGAATCTTGTTTAGGACTATACAAGCTTAACGACTACCCTGCGATATAGCTCCCTCGCTTTTAAGTCTGTTATTCTCTCTACGCGAGTAGCTCGTGGAATGCCTCATGGATAGAAAATACCGTCTTAATCACAACCAAACTTCCATGCAACAACATCGCACATACAGAGTGAAAGTAACAACACAATCCTATTAATTCTTTTATCCTAAAAGAGCCACACACACCTACCCACCCACTAACTGAGCCCCCAAAAACTAGCAAAAAAGAATATCGCAGGGGCTGCTATAATACGCCCGACCAGGGACTCTGCGTTGTTTATTAGAAAACGGGTTATAATCGCAAACGAATGGCGATGGTACGAACCGAACCCTGAGCCTTGAGATTAAAAGTCTCACGCGCTAACCAATTGTGCCAGCCGGGCTCTGTTGTAACAGATTGATGCTGATGTAGAGAACTAGATGAAGTATGTTCTTGGATGAAGGTTGTTGGGTAGAGAGAGGAAAGGGGGGTTTCAAGGCTGAGTGAATGATCAGGGATGGTGTGAGGTGTGGGGTGGCTGTGGTGAGGTTTGGAGGGGTTTGACGGCTGAGTGGGTTGGTGGGGGTGTGGAAGCGTCATTGATTTTTTTTCTGGTTCGGGGAGGGGTGATGGTTCGGATGAAACTCGGGGTAGAAGATGGCTAGGAGCAATAACCAGAGAACGAATTCTTCATAGCTTAACTTGAACTTTGCTATACTATGATCATCTACCTTTTAGAGCCAAACACAGTACACTGCTGAATCTTCTCATCATGTAAAGCGTGCGTCGGTGAGATGTCAAAGATTACCCCCTAGTCCCGGCTTTACAGTTTATGCAGCGGAGCATCAAAAGACACAAGCGACGGTGAAACACCATATATTCCACTCCAAATCCAAATCCACAATTTAATTATCCTCCTTGATACACAAAAAAGCTACATCGTCGTTCCAGTGTCGAGAATCGGCAGCTACACCACTAACCACTACCAACAACAAATGGTGTCCTGTCAAAATGGCTGATTTACTATTTTCTTTGGGATTTTGTGGTGCAATTGTATGGTTCGGGGAGGATGGATGGGTGGCTGGGTGGCTGGGTGGCAGGCAGGCAGGCAAGACTGCACGTTCTTTAAATACCCTCTCCCGTCGCCTTCCTTCCCTTCCCACAAGAAACATATGCATACCACAAATACTCATAACAATAGCGTTTTCTCACGTAAAACAAAAAAAGAGAGAAAGAAAGAAAGAAAGTCTTTGGTGTAGGTACAAAAGCTGTCATTGTTATCATATATCTATATCTCTTTTCATATATTTCATCCCCCTCCCACCCCATGCCCCTCTCATCCCGTCCGATCCTCCAAACCCTTTTATACCTCAAACTTCCGGCGCACCCACCCTCCCCGCAACCAACGCAATCAACGCCGCCCCAACCCCACTCCCATCCTTTGCAATCCCAATCCTCACCCTCTTCTCCCCCTTCTCCCCAACCCCTTCAATCTCGCGAAACGCCTGCCTTATATGCTCTTCAAAGTTTGGATAAAATTCCACCAACGACCCATCAACCCCAACATCAATCACATCCTCCTCATCCACAGTAGTGTTGAGGTTGCCACCACCCCTTGGGGGATTAACACCCGATTTCGCCTCTGTGGTCGCCGTACCCGTTGACGATGATGTATTCAGTCGTCCCGTATTGATAATAATAGCCGCAATAGCCACAGCGGACAGACGAGCAGCGCGCCGCCCAATAGCAGCAGCAATGTCACGGACCGCTTCTGCATCTTCGGCACTCACGGCACTGATATCGTACTCTTTATCCAATGTCTGGCGCAGCATGCGAAGCCCGGGAGTACTATCGCCCGCACATACAGACAACAGACTCGTATCGAGACCCCATTGCTTGTAAATGGGGCTGTTTTTGCTGATTTGCGTGGTGCTGTGTGCGTCGTTGGAGGAGGAGTTGTCGTCGCTGAACAGGGGGACCTGGGGGTCGTTGATGAGTTTTAGTAGGGCGAGGCGCAAAAGTTCACCCAGGAACATGCCTGAGACGCGCTTTTCGAACATTTGGATGCCGGGGTTTACAGACTTCTCGTCAAGCTCGACGTCGTAGGGTGTGTTGGGGAGGGTGCGGAGCGAGTTGTCAAAGGAGCCCCATTCAGTGTTGACAATCATTTCGCCCGTCGACTGGTCATATTCGCCAGCACTTTTGGCTTGGGTGAGTTTGGTGACCTTGTCGAGTTTCTCGACGTAGGCGCCGTTGGTACCGGTTCCAAAGATAGCACCGAGGAGGGTTCCCGTCTTGCCTGGCGACGTGTAGGAGCGCGCCATGAGAGTTCCGACTGTGTCATTGACCAGCGCAGCGACCTTGACTGGCAGATGCAGTTCATCAATCTCCTGCTGGAGCAGCGCGCAGACATCCTTGCCGACCGCATCCTGGATATCGAAGCCCTTTGTCCAGCGCATGAGCATGCCCTTGTTGATGCCTATCTGGTGGACTGGGAAAGAGAATGTGAAGCCCAAATTAAAGATTTCGTCATGTTCCTCTCCCGTGCTGCGCTTCTTCAGTGTGCCCGCGTAGTGTTCTTCGTGGTGTTGCTTGAGGAAGGCTTCGATTTGTTTGGCGAGGAAGGAAAAGAGCTCTTTGGATGTCTTTGCGACCATGAGCTCGCGGGGGATGGCGACTTTGCTCTGGGTGAGGGAGAAGGTGGTGTCACCGTTCAGGCGGATGGAGCAGACGCGGAAGTTGGTACCGCCCAGATCGACGGCCATGTACAGACCCTGTGATTGTGAGACATGATCCTCAAGAGCCAGACTGTTCGCATACCTTCTCAGTGCCATTGGGGACCGCAGTGACATAGGTAGGGATCTGGCTCAACTCGGTGCCCTCCGCACCAAGACCCTCATCCATCTCCCGTATAAACTCCTGGACAGCCTTGTTGACGGCATCCTTCTCAAAGTCAAACTCCGCCGCTACCCGCTTGGCCTGGTCGGCGAGTGCCATGCTGCGCTCAGGTCTGGTGTTGAAAGTGCCCACGAATTCGACGGGCGGTACGATTGGTATCGGCTTGGGACAGACAGGAGGTTGCTGAAAGACAATGGGGTTGCGCAGAGTAATGCCCGCCGAGGAGGTGTAGTCTCGTGCGAGGAAGCGCCAGAGCGTGGTGGGCAGGGACAGCTGGGGTGATGCGAAGAATGGGACGACGGCCAACGCTAGCAGGAGCACAAGTACGCCGACAGCCGCGCGTGACGAAGCAAGAGAAGAGTCTGCGCTGGTATTCGACGGCCGGCGAGAACCTGGATTGCGACGTGTGGAGCCGGTGTTGGGCGCGGGCGTGGCTTGATTTGGGCCTCTCACCACCTGTGCGCCCACCATCACATGCCCCGCTTTATGACGGGCGCAGCGGGAGGGGCAGGTAAGCAGCAGGAGAGGAGGGGCAGTGTGGGCATGCAACGCAATGCAACAACCGTGCAGCAACGGTGACAGCGACACGCACACCAGCACGCCAACAGCAGAACGCTTGAGGAACCGGGGAGAGGATTGCGCAAGAGGCTCAGCTTCAATGTCCAAGGTTTCTAACGGAGATTTGATCTGCAGCGGACAGTGTGTGCAGGGCTTCTTTCCATCGACGGTCCGCTAGCTAGCTCGTCAACGTCTCAAGGCTGGCCCTCCCTCGCCTCGGTTCGGTCTTAGTCGACCTGTGCAATCCATGGAATCCCATTCATCTGAGGCAGCTCGAGCTGTCAATGCCCCTCGCCCACCTGGGCACTATCCTGGTCGCCATTACGTCGGCGGCTCCTTCCCTTCCCCGGATTCAGAGCAATCGCGATCCGAGAATCCTTCCCCGATAGTCTCAACCACGCTTCCATGCCATGGCTCACTCTATTCTACCATACCCCGCTCGTGCAAATGTCATCCCAGCCACCATGATGACCCCATCTCCCTCATCCACCCATAACGCGGAGGTCCACGTACAAGGGGACGACTGCATCATGCGTCTTTAGAACGCATAGGCGGCTCACAAATCCCTAGGCATTTCTGCACATGCGGTCCGACTTCTGACGACCCATTGCTAGTGCGAAACCAAACACACATGTCTACGTGCAATCACACGCATGCCTTGTCGCGGGTACCCACGCATACCTATGTACATAGGTACGGTTCAACGTCATCACACCCAAATCACTCCAAAACCATCAACGATTCCACATATAGAAACGAACGTCTTGCTTTTTCATCCTCTCTCCAACCTAGAATATATATGCTTCCACTCAATCGCCCCCTCAATGCTTTCTCCACCTTCTTCCGTCTCCACTACACATCCCTGTGCCTTCCAAATTGCTGAAGGACTGATAAGTAGTTATACACTTTCTCTCCCGCCCAAGAAGAATAAATGCCGAAAAAGCAGAAAAAAGCAAAAGCAAGAACAATGGGTGGTGAAACCATGTGTGCAAATATATCGAGAAACTCCCTAGCTGTGTGTCGAGATTACACTCGGCGCAAGATGAACAACCTATGCCCCCCAAACCTCACTGAGAGAGCAAAGAACCCATGCAAATAAGATCCATAATTAGCGGGTTTGCCCAGTGCAACAAGAAAGGAGAGGTGCCACAGCAACAAACAGACGTCTACAATATGTACGGTAAGAACAAAGGAAAGTGAATGTAACAGAACTCCATCACAGAGTCCATGTGTGTGTGTGTGTGTGTGTGCGTGCGTGCAAATGGTCTCCGCCAAGTCCCAAGCTCTAATATCCATCATTAATCCTCTGCCAAGGGCCCCAAAGGAGGCCCCGGGCTGTCATAAAGCCATCCCGATTTGATTGTGAAGAGGTCGGTGATGATGAAGCAGTACGTGTACGGTGTTGTGAAGAAAGGTCGAGGTGAGTCTCAAGGTATCCTAGCAACCATCGATCAACACAAGAATAGGACGTGTCGATCGACGGCAGAGTAAATGGTTCGTCAAAATATCGCTTAGTTGGAAGACGGTCTCCGTGCAAAATGCCGAAATACTCCAAACCGATGGCTCGCAAATCTAAGTGGGACAAATACCATCAATTACCGAACGCCAACCGGAGGACGTGGTCCCAGGCTACTCTGGCTACTGTGCGCAGAGTTTTCCGAATCTATTTGAGCGCTGGCACCACTACTGCCACTGCCGCTGGCACTACCTGTCAGACTTCGAACAACAGGACGTGACTTGGGTGGGTAAAGGTTGCTCACCCCTGCGTGTTGTTCAACCTGTTGCGGTGCCACGGCGTTGCCCATGCCAGGGGGGTGGCGGGGAACAGGCTGTCTCATGCCCGGGGGCGACGGTCTTCCATTAGGTGGCACTCCATTTGGGGGCATGCCGTTGGGCGCGTATCCATTTGGTGGTGATGGTCGGCCCATGGGACGTGGCCCAGGGCTG